GAAAAGAATCGTGCTTCTGACCGCCAGGAGTGCAATGAAAAGGAAGTTTCTGTGATTAATCAATTCTCAGACGTTAAAGGATTATTTACGGAGCTGAAAAAAGCAGTGAGCTATACCATTAGACCTATGCTATTCGTTATTTTATCTCACTTTGTATAAAATGCTTAAAGCTATGAGTAGTAAACTAGCTTTAATGAAAAGCTCTAAACAAAATTTGTAGGCGATTGCAAATTTCAAGTTCAAGAAGTCAGTGAAAAAGCAATGCTTAACTTAAGCGGTTGGTCGTATCGATGCAGCAACCGCAAAGCCTGGGGGGTTGGGGACGGGAGAAGTAGAAGAGCAAGTACTGCCGGTTGGTGCACTCTACGCTAGCCACGTGGCCTACTGATAATGAAAAATCGATACTCAGTGCTGCGCGCGACCACAACGCGACGCCCATCGATACACACGCTCCGCGCACAAGCCCTTCGCATTGTTGCAGCCAACTGCGCGCGCTCATTTGCACTTTATACTGCACATATACAAAAACTCAGAGAGCTAAATCGAGCGAGAGAGATTGGAACTGGAATTTGCTATTAGGCGGAACGCGGATTCACTATCGAAGGAGTCACTGCAAGTGCGGTCATGCTCTGGCCCTGTCGTTCTGGCGCATTTCCTCTCAGGATCGATTATCATACAAAGAAAATTTAAAATTTGAGCTTTCGCTTGCTTTTATCATGGTTTTTCACAGACCCGACAATGGATGCTACGATGATGCTTACTTCATTCCTACCCAATAAAAGATACACACTAAGAGGCCATTGCTCATAAATTGGAGGGAGGGGGAGGAGGAAAACTATTTGGAGGAAAGTATGTAAGCAGGATTGTTAAGGCGGCTAAGTGCGTTTAAGTCGACTGGTGCCTGTTGGTCCTGGTGCCACGCGGTGCAAGTTAGAGCGCAAAGGTATGCGGTGACGTCATAAATGCGTGCGTGCGTCCGCGCTCAAGCACACAGGTGGCTTGCATGCGTAGGCCTGTGCGTGTGCATGTGGGTGCACGTGCGCGTCCCTTTGAAGCACAACTGGTGAGGTGGGGTGGGTGACAAACGGCTACTCTGATAGAGAGGGAGCGAGAGAGCTGGCACGTAGGCGGCAGTAAGTGCAACACCCACGTGTGAGAAACAACATTGTGCACCAGGATGACAGTTTGATGCGGTGAGTGTGTGTATGCGTGCTGGCTTGCGTGTTGGCGTACCTGTGCGCTTTCTGCAGCACGCACTCCATTATCGATCGTCGCCAATTTGGAGTAGCCTATGAGGGCGGCGACGCGTGAAAGCTAGCCACGTTTACAAATGACGATCCAACGTACTTGACACCCACATTTGGAGCGCATTTTCCCGGTCCCGGTGGAATACATTTTAAGTCAGCTAAATTAATCAGCGCCTGACGATAGACAGAAAGTGCTTCGTCAGCGTGTGTTGTTGAGGTTTAACAAGTCGTGATACTCAACCTAACCTCACTGTGCACAGGGCTCGTATTTTTTAATTTAGTGTGTGCGGATTGACTTTGTGGGTTTGTAGTGGCTACTAAGAGATTTGAATAAGCACATAGTGTGTGGAATCAGGAGTCGCAGTGCATACGAACCACCAATGAATTTTCCAATGTGACACCAATCTATGTTTTAAATACCATTCAGAGACCTCTACATATTTTGGGCCGTTTAAGTCAGATATACACATAGAAAACCGAAGCGGTTACTCTTTTAAGGGTGGAATTGTAAACCCAAACTGCTGGACTTGTGTTCCATATCATCGATTATATTTCATTTCCTCATTTAATAATTCAAAGACGCGCATATTAAGAGGACTTTATGAATTGTAGTTATATGACCAGATGTGCATACTAAATAACTACATCTTGCCGACTCAAGGAGTCCATTCATTTATTCACGGGATTATGATTTCAAATGTTTGAACCACCTAAAAGACGCGTCGCTTAGGTGACTAATTAGGCCCACTTGCACGCCCTTGGAGGAGAGTATGGCGCACGGCTAGCATACAGGCTTTGCCTCCATGCTGCTGATACCGGCCGCGGTTCACAGATAGGACTTGTTTGGGACGAAACGAAAGACTGACTCAACACCAATAGGTGAGAATACGAAGAAGAACACACATCCTTGTGCATCTCTCTCACGCAAGAATCCCCTAAGCTACATTATGGGAAGAATTCCCACCATGTAGATGAATTCTGTACCAACGGTTATTTCCTCACTTTTGACCCACCAAGTCATTTTTGATCCTAACAGTGAAGGTGATACGCTGAAGTACCTCAACGCACATTGGATTACATTTAAACGAAGCTGGAACTAGCTTTGGCTTACTCCAAGTGAAAGTGTTAAAACAGTGGCTTTCAGCTTGTATTCCATGAACAGATGCATGATTCTGATGCAGATACTGATTAAGAGAGAGCATTATTTGAATTTCAAAGACGATGATGGGCCGAACAAGTTGGAGCTTGCTCAAATGTCAGACTCAGCTGATGTCCACCGCAAACGACCCACTTGGGTCACAGATACGTGCGCAGACTTCGCCGCCCTTCTGAGAAGAAGAGAGCGTCCGATAGAACAGTCATGGAAAAAATTCTACAGAAGAAGCGTAGAGACAAAAATGTGGATTATTCAGTACAACGTTAGCACATGTACAAGTGAGAGGGGGAGGATCAACGTGGAAAGATAATCTGTGGCGTTAGATTGCTCGTGTGACGGTCAAACCTGTGAAATTATGCCATAGGTCACACGTCCAGCGTTATGTCGTCAGACGTCAAACAGTGGCATATAAATACAACCAAACGTTTTGTGCCGTATTTGATGCAAAAATAATAAACGTGGTACAAATCCAACAGCATAGAAATGAATGGTGCACATGGGATATCAGGAGCATATCACATATCAAAGTAGAATGATGCGGTGAGGAGTACAAAAGATTTTCAATTGTGAAGGCTTGATCTCGTGTTGACTTAAAGTGGGCGCTCACTCGGAAGTCTCAGCCGATTTGATGTGCTAGAAGGGTAAGCATTCGCACGCTTTCGTTATGAGCGCAGTCGCGATTAGCACGTCGAATTAGTATCGTGGTGCAGATACAAATGAAGCCCCCTGGTGCGTACTTTTGTGACGAACCCTCACAAGCATCAAAATCCCAACTCTTCTTAATTACTAAAGTAGAAGAGATGCGTAACAATAGTACCTGACAAATGGCAACACACTGCCCGCTATCTAGACTGCATCACTTTTAATTGCGGAAATATATCTTGCGGAATTGCAGTAATGAAGAAACTGTTACGCCATATTAGTAATCAAGTGCAAACAGATCTTGCGATTGTTCTTAATGATCAACTGGTGAGGTAAAATATGCGAATATACCAATTCCCCTCTTTAATGCATAAAGAATAGATGCGGAAGCCAAATGTTAAACAGATCCAGTTTATTTGATACTTATGACTTCGAATAGAATACAAGTTGATTAAGGCAAAGAGACGATTGAGTATGCTGATGAGTAAAATATCACCTTTACGTGCTGACGCAACACGTTGACTGTTTAATCAATTCCCGGTTTTGGAGGAGGCTACTTAGATGCTCCTCCATTGTACCTTCTCTGGATGGGCTGGCCTTCGAATCGTGCCAGTAGCTCTAAGTCCTATTGTGTGCTGAATATATTTGTATTTTTTTTAAGTGTTGTCATCTTTCGTCCTTAGGGAAGTTCCTAAGTGTCACAGATGTCTTACAGGGCGCCGTTGAGTTTATAATATTCGCACAGCAAATTTGCAAACAAACAATTGATTTTGCCATCAAAAAAAACTGAGTAACCTGGTGTAGATATTGATGAATTTTCAATTCTTTGGGAAATAAATATCTCAAAAGTGTTAATAGTTGAGCCATAGTGAAAATGACACTTTCCTTGATGGAAGCTTGCTACTAATCATTTGTGAGTAGAGCATAATAATGAATAAAATGCTAATTTTGTGCCGACTCCAAAACACCAATATCCCCGCAATTTTTCCGTAGGCATTAGGATCTCTCAGAATAAAAGGTCGACGCACTTGAAACTGTGATTCTTGGCTAGCAAGTCTGTAGAAAGTTCGAGGTTTTTAATGAGATTGTTGCTCACTTTTGCCATAAAGTGTCTTAAATCTAGATGTTTTCATTTAAAATGATACAAGCAAGTCCACACACTACATTTTTCGTTATTAACCCAATTCTACTTAACAAACAATGTGGATCCGAGAAAAGCTTCTTCAACGACTTTTCTACTCACGCTTGAAACCGTAATGACTCGAATTCGACAACAAAAAAAGCTGGGAGAAAGCGCACCTCAAGACTTCGCCTCCACCCTGCAGTCAGTGAGCTGGATTTCTACATACGGCCATTTTCTTCAAGATAGCACATTGAATGGATTGATGGGACGCTGTCTATGCACAATATACTACTAAAATATTCATCACCCATACGAAACATAAAAGCCTTTTGGGAACCACTATTTTTGTGGTTTACTAAGACCACTTCACTAACTGATATTTTGGAAGTTCAGTGTGCAATGTACAACCTGCCCATGCAAAGCAATAAATTTTTATGTGTGACTCCATAAAAAATATCCTTAACGTAATAAAAGGCCTTATTAGGTCATTTCCTCATCCTTAAGCCAAATTATACAAAGTAATGTTGGTGGCCAGCGTGCTGCATGGTGACTAATCATAAAAAAGTGAACAAGACAAGGAAAACCTATCCTCAGGATTCCCATCTTTGTTAAATCTGATTCTTCCTGCACCGGATCAACTGCTTCCCGTAATATTAAAACAGGTAGCCGTCGCATAAGGTAGCCGGGATGGAAATATGTCCATTAAATTTTGCAAAACATGGGAGCAGATGGGATGGATTACCTTGACGTTGTAGTTGTGGCAACCTAACGATAGTGATGTGGCCGTGTGCGCACTAGTTCATGGACGTGCCCCGAACGTACACCCACACACATGCAAGCAACCGTTCGGGACGGCGGAAGGCTATTGGCCAGCGGTATCGATTGCTTGGCACGGAGAGCCAAACGGCAGATTGGAGGTCGTAAGGCACAAGTGAAGCAGCACCAGCTGCAGCAGCAGAGGCGGAGGCTGAAGCAGCACAGTAGAATGGAACCTTTCGCTTACGAAGACTACTCTGACTTCGACACCGACGAGTTGGATTTTGATCCATCTCTGAGACGGGTCACTACGGCTACTAACACACGGCGATCCCTACGCTCTTCCTCGCCTTTTGAACTTGACGGTAAGCAAAACACTGGTTTTCCTTTGTAACAGCAAGGGATATCTTAGTCGAGTGACACCAGTCACTACTGTATCCTTTAACATTTCAAGGAAACCGGTAAGTAATGAACACGGGAAATGAGGTAAAAGCGCTTGATACCGATTGTGATGATTCAGTCAAGGCGCCAAATGACCAGCTACAGGCTATTTGAGATTTTAAAGAATGAGACAGATCTATTATTCTATACCTTAATGGCCTATAAAGCTGCTGAGAAGTATATATGAGAGTATTAGAAATACACTTTGGTGGGAACATGAATTTAATTGGCTATTATTCAAATCCACTGAGTTTATTGCAAATAATTATCTTGAACTATTTTCCAATAATAGAAATATTGTCAGAGTGTAGTGTTTTTAAAAGTTGACAACAGCCATTCGGGAAACCCAGACTTAAGAGGTCACAAGTTAGCCCGATGGTATCCGGACTTCCGCCTATGTTATTGTTCTGGGTTCATTTCCAGCCTAGATATAGAAACAGTAAAGGCGAAACAGGAGAGGAAGTGATGTTTTCACAAGTAGCATTGCTTTCTAGAGTGCAAAATAGAATGATTTAAATGAGGCAAACTGTCCGAGATGAAATTGTCACCGACGAATCGTCCGATTTTGCCTTCCACTTATAACAGTGTAGATAATTAGCGTTGCCCATTTACTGTAGATAAAAAGGAGTAATATTGGAACTATACTGCACCAATTTCGTTAAAAGTGAGTCGTATAGGGTACAAAAACTATTGCTGCTGAGAGTGAATTACATCAGTTGCTCCCATTTTTTGCCATGGGACAATAATAACGGTTTATTTTACAAACGAAGTGGACGGTCATTCTTCGCTCAGCACACATCCCGAAGTCACCGCGACTAGGAAATTACCAAACGCTACTGCGGTGGAATAAAAAGTAAGGGTGAAAGAAGGGTTATTCTTAACCACAAAACCGGTTTTATTCATCCTCTCCGTGAACGCACAAACCTTATTGAAGGGCTTCAGAGTAGAGTGAGTAATTCCAAGTAATTCCAATTACGACCCTGTTGTTCTGATCTTTATATTAACAGTCCAGAAAGTTTTAAGAGTGGTTGGATAGTGGAGTATCTCGTACTTTAGTCGCAAACTACCGTGATTATTTACCAGTAAGTAGTAGTATTATTAAAACAGTACTTAAAGTTCGATTTACTGACCTGAGTCAGGTGAGCGCTGAACTGTTGTGCCTAACAAGAATAAAAATTTATGAGAGTGGCTAGCTTCACATTTATATGGCTTTTTGGAAAATACACAGGCTGGCTCATTCCACTGAGGTCAGGCAAAGTAGCACATTGACAGGAAACGCGTAGGTGCTAATAGCAAATTCACCGTGAACGTTTACATGAAAGTTCAACTAAAACTTTGTTGGCAGTACGATAGCTTGGAAGCTATCGTATTGCCAAAACAAAGGGAGCTTCAACTTACCATACAACAGCACGATCTTGACCAGACAAAGACACGTATAAATATCGTCTGAAACATACGTCTTTGATCTTTCATTTGAAAAGTCCGAGCCGTGTGTTTCACTAGTGGACATAATTGAAAGGGATTAAAAATATAGTGGGGAAGTGTCCCCTACTAATAAAGCTACACAAGGGGGGCAGACTGGGGGAAATAGACGCAGCTTTAGACGAACGTTTTTAGAGAAGTGAACTACTTGACGTTAGAATGAAATATCTTAGCCATAAAGACCAGTAAAGATAACTAGAGAGTGATAACTATTAGTTGTGCGATTGACGTGAAAGATAGCTCGACCAAACTCACTTAGAGTATTTACATGTGATGGTGTGAAGACAAACCTCTTTGTTTTATTTATTTTTTTTACTGAGCATCCTGAGACGTAACAAAAGTCCAAGTTCGTGTATTGTGACGATGGACAAATGAGCAGGGGTTGTTTACTGTTATATGCATGGAAGTTTCCAAAGTTCTTTATAATGTAATTTTTATGATCGTAATAACTACAACTCTGTCTGAAATACGGCTAAATATTCCGCCAGCAATCGGAGTTGTTACGGTACACAGATCTGTCAAAATACTTCTATGGATAAACGTGCCCCGGAATTTGTTTTTAAACGGCCTCAATGTGCAACAGGTAGTTTTGCTTTAGACATCAGTACTTTTGCACAAATTCGCATGGGCGTGCGACGCGAATGTGGGTCATTTAAGAGGCTTATAAATCTTCCGTTACAAAAAACTGTATTTTCTGATTGAAATATGGACTCCCATTCATCTCTTCGTTGAGCAAATTGCTTGTTTGCTACAATCTCTTCAATGTGACTGCCTCTTTACTATTAAGACTATAGTGCCCCGAGACTTCCCCGAAGAAGAAAGTAGGCGTAACAATGG